AATTTACCCAAAACTAAATTTTAGATCACTAAAAACCCAAAACTAGTACTTATGTGATAAATTTACCCCAATTTAATTTTTTAGGTCACTTAAAACCTCAAATTGGTGCACACATGACACATTTACCCTCTATTAGCTTCCATCAAATTTTACCGTGAAATTGCTAAATTGGATGACACATGATAATAACTTAGTTGACATGATAAGTTCACGTAAAAATTCATAACTCTCTCTCTTTTTATTTCTTTAATTAGCCATAATTTGAAAACAAATAGGTCTCTCTCTCTCTCTCTCTCTCTCTCTCTCTCTCTCTCTCTCTCTCTCTCTCTCTTCCTCTTCATCAAGCACGCTCCATTGTCGTCTTCGTCTCATTCGAGCACACCTTTATCTCTGATAATCTTCTTGCCTTCAATTTTTTTTCCGTGCTTGTTTCACTAACTCATCCAAATCACCAAATTAGGATGTTTAATGGCTTCACTTGGAGGTGGTTCAAAGAGAAGCGTGTCATCTTCCAGCACTATCAATGAAGTTCGTTAGGAGACGATCTAGGGTTTTTTGTACTTTGTGAGAGACAGATAATGTGCACTATTTGTTTTCAAATTAGGCTAATTGAAGAAATAGAGAGAGTTATGGACTTTCGCGTGAACCTGCTATCAATTGAGTAATTGCCACTTGTCATCCAGCTCAGCAATTTCACAGTAAAAGTTGATGGAAACCAACAAAGGGTCCATGTGTCACGCATGTACCAGTTTAGAATTTTTAGTGTCCAAACAATTAGTTTAAGGTAAATTTATCATAAATATATCAGTTTTGAGTTTTTTGTAATTCAAAAATTAGTTTGGAAACCACCGCCCTCAGCGGCTGCTCTGGCTTCGGGCTCCTCTCCCCCCACGAAGGGTAGGAGTTCGAATCCCAGCGCTGGCGTTAGGGATTCTTAAGCGTGACGTCATGGTGGTGGGTCCTGCGCTAGCGTCACCCCGGGTTTACCTCCTCGGCTGTCGGCCGTGCGGGGGTTCCCGGGTTACCAACAAAAAAAAAAAAATTAGTTTGGAGTAAATTTATTATAGATGTACCAATTTGACTTTTTTTCGTGATATTAACTATTAACCCCCTTTTTTACCAAGAATTCATTCCAAGATGAGAAGTCCATTTTTTACCTTTTAATTTGCAGCGTCCATCTTTGACTTTAAGATCGATTTGAAGATATGCTAAGCTATCTTATATATACAGATCAAACGAACATGAATAGAACCATTTATTATCTATATAGTTAAAATTGAAGTTGAGAGATTATTCGCTCTGGTGCTTGCCACGTGGTGCTTCGCCGCACTCTACATTTGCCACGTGATGCACATCCAACTATTAAATTTTTAGATTAATTATTTGTCATTTGTCAATTTCGATCTCTTATTAGATTGAAATTTCATAAAACATATTGAGATAAATTATATGAAGATTTTATTTTTTGTTGAGTTTAAACTTGAAAAAAAATAGATTGGGAAAGCATTTTCAATTATAAGATGGTATCTCTTATTGAGTTTAAACTGATAAAAATGCAGAATTAGAGAAAATGATTTTAATTATAATCTAATTGATATCTATATTCTATTTATATTGTGTTTAAAAGTTAGAAAACGGATAAAAAGAGTATAAGAAGATTTAATTTCTTATTAAGTTAAACTAAAAAAAGGATAAATTAGAAAATTTATGATTTTGACTAACATGGCTTATTTTCAGTGTAGTTTCTTTGATGTACTTGTAAACAGCGAAAATTTGCCAAATATAAAATTCTGTGTATATATTTCATTTTTCAATAATTCTTATCGGCAATATTTGCAAGTGCAATTGTCCAATTAAATTATGAGATGTATTCACGGTAGAACAATTAAACTTGAACAGAGATATTGATCGGTTGGATGAGCTAAATTAAATTAGTATTTATCTGTATCGAATGCAAAATGGATTCGATATATGCTTAAATCACAGTAAATATTAATCAAAATTCCAATTATTGATATGCAATCTTAAATGGACCAATCAAGAGCAATTAGACATGTTTCAACACTTTTAATGCTCCTATACAAAGCATTTTTAATTCTGAAAAGTTTATGAAAATAACAATCATTTCAAAATAATAACTAGCAAAATAAAGAAAGGAATAAAAAAGTGATCAAACATCAAAAAAATAAAAAAAAAACTTCATAGAACACTTTAGATGAAATGCGTTGCTCATGTATTCTAAGAATGTATTATACGTGTCAACAGAAATTATCCTATATAAACTTGTTTATCATGTACCTAGGTCAACATATGTTTATGTATCGTATCGTGCTGACAACTGGCACGATGACATTCGATAATCGTGTTAATCATGTCATGTTGTGTAACTTGCTTTCATAAGGCATATCGTATTCGTGTCCAAACAGTTTGACACAATTATCAAACATATCCTGTTGTGTTTGGAGTAGCCATATTCATGTCATGTTTATGTTTCCATATTACACGATTAACGTGACACGACGCAAATTGCTAACGTTGACACCTTCTTATGCTTGAGAGCTTGTTACTGTAGGGAATTATGTGTTAAAAGTTAATTGGCATGGACTCATTTGGTTTTATCCAAATGTGCCCAAATTTGCCCTTGTAGCCCAGGATGGCAAGCTGCCTACTTTAGAAAAGACTACTAGATAGACATCCACTCCAAATTCTCCTTTTTGTCTGTCATTCATGCAGCAAAATGAATCTCGAGATCAACATCTCGAGCGTTGCCTGTTTGAAAGGAAATTATTACTCTGCTTTGTGGTAAGGTAAGGTTACTTTACCGGAGACAGCTCTGTATCCTTGTGTTTTTTTAAAGTTTACCTCATCAAATTAGGTGTTGTCACCTGTGTAGGCTACAATAACCCGGCAGCCGATCAATCCACACCCCTTGTTCCTCTCCATTGTTGTTTTTTTTTCTAGGAAAATGACTAGAATACGAAGAGAGCTTACAGGAAGATTTTTTCATCAGATCGGGGAGTCTCTTTCCTTGTAGCTGGGGATAATGAAATTATTGCTCTGCTTTGTATGGTCAAATCAGGCCACTCAAGCTGCTAGTTTCAGGGTCATTCTTCTCAAACTTGCTTGCAATGGAAGCTTATTTGGAAAACCGATAACGAGCTGTTGCACTGCCTCCATACATCTTGTAGCAAAACAGGTGTCCTTTGTTGACGACCAGCGCTGATTGGACCGTCGTTTTCGGATCAAAAGTGGCCAGAATGACTTGGCAAATTGTCAAAATATTTAGGACTGAATTAGCATAATGAAAATGTTTAGAACTGAATTGGCACAAGTGAATAGATTTATGACTTTTTTGGTAATTTTCTCCATCGTTCTCCTATTGTGTTTTGCAATTAGCTGTTTTTAGTAAGTACTGAGGAATGATTGCCCATTTGTTGTGGCTTGTAGTGGGATTGGCCAGCCCACGTTATTATTGATGGAAATTCAACTTTAACTTGCCCATAAGAAAAAGTTCTATTAGAATATCATTTACTTTAGAAACAGTTGTACCAAAGCTGTCTTCCCTATTCCTTAAGATGAGCTTCCGAAAAGGACAAAGCATTCTCACTCTCACATTCGATGATGAAAATGATTGAACATGTAGAAGGAAGAGCGAATCAAGGGAGATAGGGAGAATTTTTCGGCTATATATCTCTGAAATGTCTAAAGAGAATGAAGTACCCGAATGTGGTGAAGGCAAGGCATAAGGAGTCCGATTAATCGATGGTGTAGAGATCCGATAGTCTGCACGACAATAGATTGTCATGGTTGCTGACATGATAGATAAGCGTTTGAGCTTGACATGGGCAAGCCACGCGACAAGCTGACATAGCTACAGGCACAACAACATTTACAACAACAAGGTCAGCATGGCTATTGATGTGGTACATACGCTTTTGAGTAGGCTATGTGACAATAAGCTGACACGGTTACTAACGCCGCTGTTAACTTCACAATCAAACAAGACGAATAATGCTGAGAATTGATGTCACGAGGGATACCAATAGTAATTGAAAAAAGAGAACGACGCGATATTAAACGCCTGCTTCATGCGCGCACTTGAGTGCATTCGCAATCTCCTCAGAAATACCAAGATAAGAATACGCGGGGTATAATTTTTCATGTATTTCATAATAAAGAAGTAGATAAGATATTTACAAACTTTACCGGACACTTTTTAAAGTAACAAGATATCGCAAAATCAATGAGGATCAATCAGGGAATCAGGGATACGCGCGATTAACGGAAGAGAGGCATGCGCTATCTATAGTATAATTTCGATGCGCATCTAATTGTAATCTGCCATGTCGAAGGGCTCAACCGGAATTTCATGCACACTGTTTAATAAATTTAATTTTCATGAAATCAAACTCAATATCATTTCGTTGTAATATTGTGCCAGATGAGAAGGGAGCAACGGCAGGTCCAGGTTGGTTCGCTAATCATGATCAGTCAGATCGTACAGAGCTGCAAAGCGAGGGAGGGAAAAACAAACAAACCCTAATCCCCTTGTTAAGGCACAAAACCATCGCCATTAACAAATTTTTTTTTATTTGAGTTAATATCACGAAAAATCTCAAATCGATATACTTATGACAAATTTACCTTATATTAATTTTTTGATCACAAAAAATTTCAAATTGGTACATCTGTGACAGATTTACCCTTAGTTTGTTTCTGTTAAATTTTATTATCAAATTATTTTGTTAAATAACACGCCGCAGTTGATGGATGTATCGGTTTTATGTTTTATTCTTCGTTTGTTATAGGTGTACTAGTTTGAGGTTTTTGGTAGTTAAAAAATTAGTTGAGGGCAAATTTGTCACAAGTATATCGATTTGGAGTTTTTCGTGATCAAAAAAATTAATTTGTGGTAAATTTATCATAAGTGTATCAGTTTGTGATTTTTAATGGTATTAACCTTTAAAATAAAAAAAACCATTTCTTTCATATCACTTCGGTCCTCTTCTCTCCCGCCTGTCATTTGCGTCTCTTTCCCTCTCTCTCTCTCACGCTCGATCTCGTTCGGCTAGGTGGAGAGATGTGGTCCCCGTCTCCATCGAGGAAGCGCGATCGCAATGAAGACGAAGCTCGATCGAATCCTCTCTTCTCTTCGCCGGAATTGAGCTTTGCCGCGGCGGAGCAGTCTCGAGCTCGTCCCGACGCTTCGCGCAGGTACGACTGAGTTCGCCGGTGCGATTGGATCGATGGAGATGGGCTTTGGGCACGGTTTGATGCTGTTCGCGGTCTGATCTTTTGGTTGTAAGATGCGTAGCTCGCGATTTCGCTTCGGAAATCCGCGAGAGAATTGCTGGAAGTGGAAGATGGAAGATGATCCTTGTTCGATGGCTTTGAAGTCTACGTCGGTTAGGGTTTTCTTTCGCGGTTTGACGATCTTGTGCGCGACGAAGATATGTCGTTGCTCGAGTGATCCTGATCTTTTAGTACGGTGCGTAGTTACTTTGGATCATCTTGGCTACGGTTCGCGTAGTGGGAACTGACAGCTGCATACTTCACTTGTTCACCATACTGATGGGATATCTGTTCTCTAATTTAGGCTCCGCGGAAGATGAATGATTTGAAAAAATATTTTCTTGAAGGTGATTGCCTATGTTGCTTATAAAAATGAATGAATGAAATTTTTTTTGTCGTCCACGAAAATGATCTTAGATATAAATTGTTGATGATATTGAAAATGTTTTTCATTGACTAATCAAGCGACACAAGAGATCATTTTTAGGAAAACGTTTTCCAAATCATTCATTTTTCGCGAAATAAACGGAGATTGCCCGCCATATGTTTCGAAGCAGTCAGTTTAGGGCCATTTACTACTAGCGGCAGGTGTATGGTTAGAAATGTATGATAGATAAAGAGTGAGCTAGCACCAAAAGATTTCTGTAAATCCCTTTCCCAGTAAATAGTATTGTATAAACCGCTTTACGAGACTTAATTATCTGTTCGCTGTATTTGGGCAACTCAAGGAATCATATGCCTTGGAGCATATATCAGTTTCACTTTAGAGTTGCTTGGCACCACTTACGTCGTCCTCAAGGGCATTTATGTTGCCATTCTGTGTTGGCTGTTGGAAGTTAGAGAATGATCTTGAATTTGCAGCTTTTGCTTAAGGAAATACTAGAAGTGTGAGTTAGAATTGGTGGGATCACTTAATTCGCACTTGAGTGTCAATCTTAACACATTATTTCTTTTGCTTCTTGCCAAAGATGGGGGCCAAAAGACTAAAAGTTCTCGCTGCTTATGCATTTTGATATTTGGTTGGCTACTTAATTTGAATTCTAACAATTGTTCCATTAATAACTGCTAGGAGAATTCATGACAAATGCTTTTGTCAATAATTCAACTTGTATACAACAAATTTCTTTGCAAGTTCCCCAGATGCCAGTAGCATGCGGTGATTGTTCACTGCATGTATATCTCATCTTTGTACCATCCATGTCATTTCTTTTGTGTTCTAAGATCCTCCGTTATAAATAAGACCAATGGTTTTAATGAAGGACATTAATTCTTGGTCAGAAAAGACAAATCCTCTTAAATAGGAAAAAAAATTATTGACCATAAATTAATCTGTCTTATGCAGATAGCTTATAAACAATGAACATGTATGATATTTGAAAGTAGATGCTGAAGTAGTTATGAAGAGGATGTTATTTATCAAGAATTCAGGATCAGGTTACACAGATATGTGAAAGCTGAAGGTTACAGCAGAGGAAGAAAAGCCCATAGTCAACTGTGTAGTGCTTTATGGAACTGTAGGTTCAAGGGGGAAAAAATGTAGACGGTACATGATGAGAAGCACATGAATGAACTTTTTACCTGGGAAATATGTTTTAACTCTATCATTTCGTAGCCTTTTTATTTATTTTCTTACGTTATAATGTTTGGACTATTTAGTGTAATTTGCTTGCTTTTGCTACTTATTTACTTCTTCATTTGGCTGGCGATCCTTTTGTGGAGTGAAGCAAGAGCACGCAAATGAACAAAGATTTCAAATACACCGTGGAGGTCAAAGTCATTCATGGCTATATGGCCTCACGTAGGAAAAAGGGGTCAAGGACTGGCACTGTAGAGAGATTGGACTGTGAATTTGGTGGCATTAGCAATAGTGTCGTTACCCTCCTCAGGTTTATTAAAATGGAGGTGGCAGATGGTTTCAAACACTTCATACTACTTTTCAGTCTTCATCTGGTTTTCACAACCACTTTAGGGGATTTTTTATTCCTATACGGCTCTTTTCCTGCATTGTTTTTTCAAAAACCTAAGGCGATGATCTCAAGCAATATAACTGGAAATGGCCTCTAGAAGGCCCATTAGAATACCATTTACTTCATTGGGAAGACCAATTGTGCAACTAAGTCATTTTCACTGAAAGGCGTTTTGTATTGTCCTTGTATCATGTGTACTTCATTTGTATCCCTGATCCCTATACGAAGATTCCTCCATGAAAGTATCCACCATGTAATCCTTGTGAAGAAATATAATGTACAAGATGCCAAGATAAAGGATCCTCACGATGTATACTTTTTGTCTCAATCCCCGTTTAGAGTCTCTCTCTCGAGTCATATCTTCTGGCTAGAGCATCTGAAAATTGCCATTTCAATGTGGCTAAGTGCCCTTATATAAATTCAGAACTTCTGATCTTACATTCACGTGGTGCTATACTAACTTATTCTGCAGCATATTTGTTTCTAATTCCAATTTTCTATCATCTATGTATCCTTATCATGATGAGTTTTATTTTTGGTTTCTCTGCATATTCAACTATTTTGAAGGTAGTGACAAAATGCATTCGAATTGGAACAAGTAGCATTAGTTAATGCCTGCATTGTTATGTTGTAGAGTTAGACATATGTATTCTTTTCAAATGGATTTATCTGGAGACTGATGCTTTTTTGATTATTACATCCACATGTAGGTTTTATTGGAACAGAGCTCTTGACTCCACACCATTCGTCCACTGGAGAAGTTAAATGTTCCTTACGAGGGCATGATGTTGGATGAACTTGAAAAACCTCCAGTTGGTCTCCTGTATCCTCTCTGTTGGATCCCACTCTGTATTGACTTTCTATACCTGAGGGTGTCTTTGGCGTCATTTTCTATGGCTTTGATTTCTTTAGGGCTCAGACGCTTGAGTATTATTTATTTATTAGTAAAGGTTGAACCTCGTGATTGATTACATTTTGGGGATTACCATGGCACTTGAATGACCATGAAGACTAATTTAAACATGGGAGGACTATTTAATTATAAATCTTTGATGAGTTCTAGCCTCTAGAATTCCTCACAAGATTGTTTATCTTGGGGCATGGCTTAAGCCAAATAAATCTATTTGGGCTATAAGATGGATAGGTTTGTTTTCTATCTTGATCCCTTTGGGCTAGTAGTATCAAGGTAGGATTATATTTTTGGCACTCCACCAGAAAATGTTACCAAGTGGGATCCTGCCAAGTTGGGTATAGCTGAGAAAATGTTGAGAATGCTTTCTCGTGGAGGGTTACATTAATTAAAGAATCTTATTCTTTGCTATAGCTTCCTGTGTGAATATTAAATAGCTTCACATCAATGCTCATGAGTCTAGTACTTGAACAATGCATTTGCAGCAAAATCTCCCATATTTTGTGGCTGTCGACAAGGCTCTCTTCAACTGCTTTACTGGCATGCTTAAAATGCAGTATATGCTGATCTTGGATAGGGAGGACTACCTTACCGAGTTCGGAACGCAGTGCATGATGGACAAACCCAGTTGGATTGTATTCACTTCCTGGTATGTTTTCAAGAAATCACTCGATCCTTACTACATCATATGTTGATGAAAGATATAAAATTAATCATGGGGTCAAGTGATAAACAATGCCATGAAAGACATCAAATTACCAAATCTTGTGATTGAAATTGTAAAATGAAGCTTCAACTTGTTCTTGTTTGTTATGGTAAGTTGCAGCGTATCAGCTTCAACATTATTTAGCAGATTCTATTGTATTCTAATTATGACGTTACTAGGTGGCAAATCTTAATGGTAGGTGTGGCTTTTGGTTTCTAAATACACAATACCAAAATATCTCGGTGCCGCTCTATATTCTCTACTTTCGCTGTTTCTGGCAAAACTTGTTATCGTTCTTAAGGGAATTGATAAAATGGTTTAGCAAGTGCAATCAATTTATATTCAAGATTCATGTCACAGTAATGAGGCTCTATGGGCGAAAGAAGCCATTATATGCAAAGGTCAAAGTGTCTATGAATTCTATAGAAATTTAGATAGTCCTTTGAATATAAAATTTTCAGCTTATTTTCAATTAAATAATTTCGCGAGCATGAATTCGCACAATTCTGGTGTAGATTGTTGATTTCATTTTGTTTCTGAGATCGAAGTTTAATATTCAACCCAGAAACATCCACTACACCTGTTAGATTACATCAACTTTAAAGTTATCCATCTGGATTGCAGTTGGGTCATTAGCTATTTTAGTTGAGGCATGTGCTTCATCTCCAGTTGGATAGTACGTTCAGAGTCTCTAGCATCTTCCCAGTTGTCCCTGCATAAAGAAAAACATATGTTAAAGTCTTAATATACAAGGTAACTTCTGTTCTCATAAGGAAAGGGGAGGACTGTCCACTGTTGGAACAGAGATTAAGCAGAAATATGTGAGTATAATTCTTTGTATTCATGAGCTTCTGATCATTAAATTATTCTGTGAACATTATTGTTGCCCCTGGCTTGGAAAATCTTAGTGTATTGCCTTTTGTTCCCCAAGAACAATTTGTCTCTCTGGTGGCCTAAAAACCTTTAATTAATAGTTAATGTGAGGCTAAGTTTTACTGGAAAGAGCGATCTGAAGATGTCATTAAAGGTACTTTGCATATTTCATGATGTCGGCCATATTGTACGGAAGAAATAAAAATTTTGGACAGAAGAATTTGAGATTTTCTAGTGCCTTCCATGATAAAATGGCAGGAAGAATGCTACTGATCTGACTAGGATGATTTCTTTTTTTAAAGAAACTTTGAAATTCATTCATTCTGCAGGTTCTCTTTGTTTAGAGAAAAGCAGCATCTGTAATTTTCTCATCAACTCTTCTAGTTCATTAGACACTTGAGTCTGCCATTCGCAGTTAACACTTGTAGTCATGTTCTTCGCCTGGCAAAAATGATCAAATTTTACGTCATTAGGAGAGAACATTTGAATGCCCGTTGTGTTTATTACCTTCATGAATTTTTTATCTGTTTTAGCTCATATGGCTGTTTGCTGCTGCAACTTCGTCTGGGCATTCTTGATGTTTGTTGAAAACAGCAGAAGCTTTAAAATTATCTGTGGGCATTGCTGCATCATGTGATTGTCCAAATGTAAAGCTGAAAGAAATCTCAGTATATTGACATTTTCCATGTGGTTGAATCGTCTAAAAGTTTTTTGTGCGATGCGATTCTTAATTTCCTAGGAGAATGATAGATCAAATACATGTGCCTATGTTTCCACTCTGGTTTCACTAAGCATTGCATAATGATATTTCAGATTTTGAACTGATTTTCTTTGTGACAGTTAATGCGATTCTCGTGGGCTTCTATCATTATCAGATGGATGCTCAAGCTAATCTAGTCGACCATTTTGAACATGTCTCTGGCTGAATAAGTTTTGGCTCTTATACAACATCTCAGTCAAAGAAACATTACTTTGTTTGCATGGTCCCTCGATGGAGACTCAATAATGTCCTTCTACATTCGTTGCACCCGGTTTGCTAATGCAGCTGCAATCTGCTTCAACATTGGTTAAGTAGAATTTGGTCAAAAATTTCATAAGCATGCCGACCTTCAAAGATTGAAATACATGTTGAAAAAAGATATATACCGTAAGTTTGTAGTTCTTGATGATGTCTCACAGTTCTGATAATGCGGCTGGCTTAGTTGGAGATGGATAGGTACTTGAGCATCTTCATCAATGTTCGGTCCATTTGGTAGAAGACTTGTGCGTGCTCCATTTACGTTATTTGCATCTCTTGTGCCATAAACCTGGGACATGGATTGTTTTTTGTTCAGACCAAGTACAGAATCTGAGGTAAATAACTTTGACAGAACTTTGTAGCGTTAAGATTAATACCTTCTTGTACAATTCCACATTCTCTTGTTTAAATAGACTTTCTTTCTTGTGCAATTCCAAATTTTCCTGGTGAAGGAGGTTTCCCTGCAGGGATTTGTGATTGAAATTTAGCAGCCTGAATGAGGAAAAATAGTAAAGTTAGCGGTCTGACTGAGTTAAATACTTTACCTTTCTGTTCAGCTCTTGTATTTCTTCCATTAAAACTTGGTCCTGCAAAAGTATGAAGTCTGCTTGTTATGCAAGATCCTTAGAAGCAAGTTGGATTGATCCTATGAATCAGCATGTAAGAAGTGAACCTTTTTTGTGCGGACGCCACGGAGACTTATCTCCAATTGGTTCTCCAAATTCCGCAAATCTTTGATGCCCAAGCCTGAGAGTTCTTCTCCCATCATTTGCCTGTCAGTGTCGTGCGGGAGTATAGTTTAGCTAGCAAGTCTATCATCTGACTGTCACAGATTCTTGTGGAGGGGAGTAAGAAATGAAATCAAAGACTCATAGGTGCAAATCTGTGACATAGAGGTTTCTCAGGGTCTGCAAAACGAAGCTCTTGATTTCACAACCCTTGAGTTCAATCTGTCCTCACACTAATGGCTTTTCTTTCTGAAACATGGTTCGTATAGCAACAGACTCATTTTCTTCCCATGATGCAGATGACAAACTGCTGCCCCGTCTGCAACTTTTATAGTTCCGTTATCGTATGTCTTGCCTCTCTTTCCATTTACCTTCTCCTTATGAATATAGGATGTTGAGCCCTGCCGTAATTCAAAAATCATGGGGGGAGTTGTGTGCTTTAAGAAATGTTCCATGTTTTAAATGCAGTCGTGAGGCCTTTAGCTGAACTGGATCCTTCCAAATAGAGATGGAATTCCAGGATCTGAAGACCTACCTTGGGATAGCAAAGTAGATTAGGTCATGGTGTTTTTAGGGAAAAAAAAAAAAACTTTCGGACCCCTTTTAGTGGTATGAATGGGTTTCCTGTTACCGAGTTCTATGTTAACGAGATTTTATCCTTTAAAAATGGCGTCCATGTGTTTATTAGTGCTAAAAGTTGCACGGTCAGCATTTTGCTCATTTGGAACTCTAATTCTTTTTTAAATGCCCAGAGAGCGGTAGGGTCGGAATACGGAACCAGCGAGTTGTTGTTTCCAATTATTCTTTCTTGTTTCTGGATGTGGAGATGCACAAGGGGTTGAAAATCTAATACGTCCTTTTCTTTAGCAAGTTCAATTAGGAAGTAGTTGCATAGGAAGCATGAGGGACCCCGGGTGCTTAGCTTTTCTGTTTTCGTGTCAATACAGAGAGTAATATCTCTAATTCAATGTGGGAAAGGCCTGCTACAGATCAAAACCGTTGCAAAGGGGTTTCCAATCAACGATAATTTAGCTTTGAAAAATTGTGTTCTATGTTTATCATGCCAGAGACATCAATATGTTTTCCTTCTGTATGATTCTTTTGTCCAGATATTAATGTTTTCACCTTATTTTGTACCTTTAATGGGTGCACCATGTGTTAGCGTGATGCTTTTTAGGCGTGACTGGTAAAGTTTAGCAGAAAAGTCATCGTCATCTCCGGGCACACCATGGAAGCATTGCTATAAGAAAATGTAAAGAAAATGCTCGAGAAGAGAAGACGTACCGATGATTTTCTCGGAGTTGCTGCAGTTGTTGCCTCAATATTGCTGCTTCCCTTTGCCAATACTGCCGAATAAACAAGTACGACTAGTGATATGCCGGGATTTGGGCGGTTGAAATGTCTGACAATGTCGATGTACTAGAAGGGAGTAGTGTATATGTGAAACGCATGGTCATGACAATCAAAAAGTCTCTCCAGGTAACTATAGAATGATTTTCCTAAGTCTGTTGCTTTTTCTAAACTTTGGTGAGTTCATGTATGAAATGACAATGCAATAATGTCAACTCAACAGGACTTAAAGCGAAGAACTTAAGTATGTATCTATCCATCGAAAATGATTGAAAGATCGATAATTTGCTTCCACATATGCAAACAAGATAGCACTTGCACGAATCACTAATTGTCATTCCTCTCTCGCTCCCTGGCACCCAAAGCTCGTAAATATTCAAGATATTGAGTTTGCGTCATCTAAGACCACCATGCCATGTTTTGGGGCGAGAAATTACTTTGACAGCGGTTTTTGTAACAATCCTCAGCCTGGGGCAAACTTAGTTTTTCTTTTCTTTTTTGGGTCTTTCTACGAATTTCCCCAGCTTTCTACTAAGTTGAAATGTGGGGGCGAACCCAGTTTTTTCTTTTCCTTGATTTGTCATATTAATCAATTTATTATGATCGTATTTTGCCTATCATCTATTCGAACTCGGCAAAAAGGACATGATAGACGAGTTTAAGGAAAAATGCACTTCACATTCTCGAAAGTCAAGCATTGGCACATGCTAATAGAAAAAAAAATTGACGAGTTGATGCTTGTGACCAAATGGATTGGGGGTAAATTGGAGTTTTTTAAAGATTGGTGTTTAACGTATACTTGAACGAATCTATGGGGTAAACTAAGTTCCTCTTTTTCTGAATAAATTTCATTAGGTGTCAAAAGAGCACTGCCCCTATACAGAAAGGCTTCCAATCACCCACACAATAAACTATGCACAAAAGATTTCTTCCCGTACATCAAACAATGAGCACCTTTACTGTTCAATGGTGAACTATTGTATATTATATAAAGGCCCACGCTATTTTACTTTTCAAATAGCTTTAGATTAAAATTTAAATGGTCCACAATAGCCCTCACTAAGACCTCATAAATGTTAAGGTTTATGGAAGAGGAAAAATGTGCTTTTGATATAGATCAATTAATCGGGAACAGTACCAAAAAGTCCTAAACCTATTGCATTTGTGCCAATTCAGTCCTAAACCTTTCAATTGTGCTAATTTTAGTCATAAATCTTTTCACAATTTATCAATTTTTGGCCGAAAATCGCTGATATTGACAATTTTTACAATTTAAAAACAACTAATTTTTTGTTATTTTATTTTTTTTCTTTCCCTTTTTTTCCTTTAACTTTGGCCGACAAGGGCCAGTGGCTGGTGAGGGTCATGAAAGGAAAAAAAAAGAAAGAAAAGATAAATTATAAAAAATTCAAAAAATATTATTAAATAATGTCCACGTCAGCGTCGCCCGTGCCATGTAGGATGACCGGCATCCACGTCAGTGGTTTTTGGCCAAAATTGGCCGAATGGACTCAATTGGTAAAATGTGAAAAGGCTTATAATTAAATTGACAAAATTGAAAGATTTATGACTGAATTGACAAAATTACAATAGTTTATAACTTTTTTGGTACTTTTCCCTAAATTAATCTAATGATTGTTCAACCTTTCCTAAATGTTGTTTTTTTTTTATCCCGCTTCTTCTTTATGTTCAAATCGGCGAAGTTTATACGTTCATTGCTTTTTTATAATAACCATCTAAGATTCAAGTAATTTCATAAATTTAATGGTTGAGATTCTAATTTAAAAGAATATTAACAAAGTATATTAACAATGTTTTTCTATAATTCAATATGGAATAACCCATTGTGTTTCTTTAGTTCAAGTTTTTTCTTAGGGGAAATCTTTGGTCAAAGTTATGAGCTCTTTATAATTATAATTTACATTTAAAACATGTTTATTTACAAAGATTATCAACAAGGTTCAAACCCATTACAAAAAAAATAAAACCTTTATAGAAATCAACTCGAGCACATAAATAAGTAGAAGAGACGAAATGAATCTGTATAAAAACGAATGAAAAATAACAGAAGGTGATGGAATAAAAAGTCATTGTTTTGATTAATACTAACAGTCTTTTGTTTTCGTGATAATGCGTGATTTCTGCATTGGTTATTTTCGTGAACTCAATAAGTTAGGGAGTGTAATAATCATTAAGAATGGTGGAAATAGGGAGAACCTTTTTTTAAAATATCGATTTATACTATATGGAGAATAAGTTAGGTGAAATGTATTGTGATCTTTCTTTGCAATAAAGTTCCTTTGGATAGGATAGTGCTTGGGACTTACTTTGGTTGATGGAACAGTTCATCGTTAATTTTGTAGCTTGCGAAGTGTCTGCTGATATGCCCAAATGACCCTATATGACTGGATTTGATCTAATAAAATGCAGTTGAATAGGAACATATAAAGTGGTAGAAGTAGAACAGTAATAAACACGACAAGGGTGGGCATGTCGTTCTTTAGGAGTGCTTGTGCTGTACCTTACTGAACGATAATATAGATAGGGCTACTAAATCATCGAGGGAAACAAGAACAAGAACAAGCCCTTTTTGCACTAAGTTGGGTTGGTCACGGAGAACTCTTTTTCACTTTGTTTTTTTTCCATCTTCTGCCATATCCTCCATTATATTCAAGACTTCAGAAAGTTCATTCATAGCCTCCCATTGCCCCCTTCACACTACATCTCTGTTAGTAATGTCTCATGTTCTACATCATTAGAGCCTCAAATGTATTTCTTTTAGTAATTCGCAAACCATCTTAGAGAGTTTCTCTCATCTTATTTTCAAGTGAAGTCATGCCATCTTATTCTGAAGCACACTCATATGGACTGCTTCTTCATCAATACCTCTACATCCACCAGAACATTCTCATCTTTACTCCATTCATTTTGTGTGTGTCTTGGTGGCTGATCATCCTACATTCCGTGCCATCTACATTGTCAGCCTTATCGTTGTCTAATAGACTTTACGCTTAAGCCTAAGTAGCTGTATGATGCGAAATACACTTTCCACTTCATTCATCCCTGCTTGTATCTGATACTTTTGCCAATTCCAAGACTTTAAAAGTTAACACTCTTAGGTACCAGATAAGGAACTAGGTAGCTGCAGTTAGTTTTCAGAAAGATAGCTTTCCTCACCTTTTTTTCTTGACATGAAATCTCATAACTTCCCAACACATTCTATATTGGAGATGTTGAATTCTAGAAAGTTTAGAAAGGGAGCTAAACGGTGTTCACGAAGATGACTACATCCTATTGCTACTTAGGTCTTCTGAGTAAAGTGTTTCCCAAAAGATGCTAAATTCTCATTTGCAGAACTGTACATCTCAAAGTAACAAACCCTTAGAAAGGGACAAACATAGCATCACAACGAATAAGATATGTATCAATTCAAAGTAGCAACATGGGGTATATCCAAAGATCTATTTATCATAGAGAGTTCAAAAGCAAGATAACATCGATGCAAATGTGAATCCTATTACTATTCAAATTGATCACCCGAATTTATATCTTCTTGCTTACTAATCTTTGATGTTGCTTGCTTCAGAATAGGCTTTTAATCAATATGTCAAGTTTCGACTAATTGTAGTTTTATAATATCTTGCTTTATGTCTCAATATAAATTGTCTTCATTTTCGAGGTAAATTACACACAGATAAAGGAAAAGTTTTATCTATCGACTCCTTTTGTTCTAATGAATCATATTTACAAACTAAAAATTCTGGAGAGAGACCATATAATAGAGTTACGCATGAAAAGGTCATGACATGATATTGAACAAGCAAATTAAAAATTGGCAAAGTGGACAGTACCTTAAGTTCAGCCATCGGGTTCCCAGGTTGATCGATCTCTTCTTTTAATTTGCCATACCTTTCAATTACCTGGTTCACGCTGGTTGAAGAAAATGCGTTAAAATTATTATATTTGACGCTTTTGAGTATGCATATTATTAATTACTGCCACTAATGAACAATATGTCAATAAATACTGGAGGCAGAAACAGGTGCTTAAAAGATTTTTCATGTTCCTCATAACATGCTCATGGTTTATTATGCTTTTCACTGCACCAAAGCTTGCATAAGACAAAAGTCTCAAAGTGCAGCTCTTTGGCCAGAAGTTTCAAAATCCTATTTGATGAGCCTTCAATGCGCATATGGCAACATATGCTCAAAGCTAGGCACTGTTTCTTTGGTTTTAAGATTGAAAGACATCATATGTTGTTGCCATATACTTTTTCTCTGCATTTCTGTGAGCATTAGGTTTAGGCCAACTCTAGCTTGCCTATTTCCATGGGGTTGTATGTAGTAAAAGTTCATTTTCTTTTACTGGTATTATGTCTGATTCTAGCTATGATGCTGCATTTCCTAGTCCATGTTATTCTACAGTTTCATAGTTTTAAATTCAACAGCATACCCAAAGCTGGAAAACATAACTCAGTTTATCCTTGACGTAATAGAAGATAATCAATATGTTACAAGCAACAGATCATTTTTATCTGTGGATATCCCAAATATTGACGTGAATGATTAGATTTTAATACCATGGATATCCCAAATCTTGCTACTTATGCATTTTCGGTACTTTGGTCTCCTGGTTTAAGGAACTAGGGACATAATTCTTCTCGTGTATCTCTAGCCTGTTCTTTTCTTGTGATGATGGATGAAGTTGGTCTACGTAAATAGAAATCAAACCTTATGTACGTAAGAGTAGCTTGACATTTATAGAGAACTGTTATTTCAAAATAGTTCCATAAAGTTCGATTTACACCAACTGTTTGGATTTGAATATATGCCATGTGAATTATGAAGGTTCGTTTTTTGAAGTATATCAACTATGTTTGAATTCAGATTCTTACATAGTACGCATCTAAGACATTTGTACAAACCAAACTTTCAAAACAAATGAATATATTTGCAAAAAAAATTACTAGAAAACAATAGTAAAGATTACGTTGTACATTTGATGTTAGTTATGTAATAGCATCCTTCCAAATGACAACTTATGAGGATAACCATGTAAATATTTTTAACACACTTTTTGGGATAAAGTTAAAATACAGCTAAAGAAAGATCTCCCTTTTGAAAAACATGTTTCCTTAAAAGAGCAAACACATCTTTCAAATTCTACCCAGAGATCTTTCAATATTTTCTATTAGCACCTGAAAAGTTCGACACGATTTGGAGAAGCCAAGAAGTTAGTTCCCAACAAGGTATAATTCCTAAAGAAAACTCCAGTTGAGTTTGTCAAGAAATTTCTAGAGTTGCACGGTTATTTGGTGAAAGAGAGTCATGAGACTACACTACAAGAAGGAGACAAATTTTACTCTTCCATGTGAGATGAGGTTCTGCTTGATTTAGACAATTGTGATATTCTTTATTTGCTTTGGACTACAAGTGACTTTAGGATATCTTCATATAACTCGCATAAAACAGGCCAAATCAATCATTAATTACCTAAATGGTACGCAAAGTAAAACAGTGTCTTATTCCTCATCTTAGAATTCTAAGCTTTCACTTAGTGCGCTATTTCGTCAACTGTAGCACCCTTTACAGTGTTATATATTTGGACGTTTTTAAAAGGATGTGGATTAATTAAGATACACCGCCAATGTAAACAAAAAGTTCCACAAGCGGCTTCATCCACCATTGTATTGGTGGTTAATAAAATAGTGGATAGTTACAATCACTAAATCAATGGTGGATTGAGCCGTCTGTGGAACCTAATTGTTACACCAGCGGAGGATGATAAAAACTCCAAAGGATATTGCCATGCGGAGAGCCTTGGAAAAGTGGTGAACTGACAGTAGCTTCTTCTCTAGCTACTCTAAAAGTCATTGCCTGAAGTTGGACGGGACATATCAGTTTGCTTTTAACCAAATATCCCAAGACTTTGACCAAAAAAAAAAAAAATCCCAAGACAAAGTCTTATTTCATGGCTTGCTCTTCTAGATCGGCAATGTCACTGAAAGATGGAGTAATCAAATTGGGGGTTTGGCTTATGCTTTGTGCGTCTTTTGTAAGCATTACGCTATAAATGGATGTCATTCTCATGTATATTCTTTGACTTATATCATTTCTCAGAGGCTTGGGATCATTTGATGCTTGCTATATGGTTTTCATCAACAGACTGATGAGTTATAGGATCGAGAGGTGTTGGAGTCTAGCAAGGGGAAGAATTTTCTTTCTACTTTTCATCAGGCTATTCTGAAATCTTCTCTCTATGGTATATGAAATGTGGAGAATAAGAAATGACTTCAGAATTTGCGTTCTTCATCAGGCTTGTTCTGAAAATATCTTCTCTCAAGGTAACATTTTTGGCACATTCATTTCCATTGGATGGCCACCTTACCAAGACACCTCATCTTCCTAATTATTGCTACATATGATTCGTCCCTTATTAAATCACCTGAGATTGCAACATTGATGACTTCTTTTAAACATATACTCGAAACCTAATTTGTTCACAAAATCCAGTTTATTCTCTCATTTTTCATCTGTGGCATAACTTCCACCCTCTCTATTTCATTTACATCATTTTAATGTCTAAATAGCAAAAGCAAAAACATCTAAAACAAGAATGTAGCTCACCCATGCATTTCAACTCATCTCTGATCGATCTTTTTCATCTTTCAAACATCTTAGCAAACAGACATAAATCTTATTCAAACCACATATGTCCGGAACCTATTTCCCTCAAAGTCTCCATTTATAGTCATACTATTTATTCTACTTGAAACTTAAATATGCTGTTGCGGACAGCTTGGAGACTTGGAGAACAGTTTAGTTGAAAGAAACTTCAAGGATTCATCAAAAAGTAAGTTGTTCTTCTGTTGTAGTTATGTGTTAAAGATTAGTATGCACACATGGGATCGAATATGTCAGTTATGATTAAAATCTTTGTATGTTTATGCATATAACATTATTTTATTCAATGTATAATGACATATGTACTAGTATTATGTTGAAATCCCATGTCATGCTTGCGTGCTTTTCAAGCAGGGTCTACTTCAGTAAGTGTGTGTTTCGATGACAAACCCAGCAGACACTACTGGACTTATAATTTCTTGTCCCATTGAGGGCATGCAGAGTACACTGGGCCGAATAAATAGGTGTGGTTTCTGGCACGCTTCTAATGGAATGAAAGGGATAAGAATGAACGAAAATCACACACCATATCTAGAGAGTGATGTGGGACACATTAGGTAATTTGATACGTGATTGGCTTTATGGAACAAACGATGTGGCATCGAGGTGCTCATTGGAAATGAGTGGATATTGGATGATGGGAACTGTATAAAGTAATATATATGTCTTACAGCAAAAGATACGGGGTTGTATGGGGGTGCAACCGGGCCCCAATTCGACCTAGGAACTGGCTAGAATCGACCTAACTAATTCAGTCCCAAGTTGGTTCTAGTGAGAACCAGTTTGGTTCCGATTTCGCAAACCTAGAAGCAGCCTAGGAATGATTTGTTTCCCTATTCAAAGGCCCCGGTTCGATTCCAATTCCGGAAGCCTAGAAACAACCTAGACTGATTTGTTTCCCTATTCAAAGGCCAGAACCAGTCCAACCAGGCCAGTTCTTGGGTTGAACTTGTTTTGAAGCCTCTTTCAAGAAAAGGAAATACTTTTGCAACCATCAAAATTTGAACCATGGTCTTCGATATGATTAACTAACCACTTGACTAACCAATGTTTTCTATGATAGATTTGTGCAACTTTCATATTTTATGATAATAATTTTGATATTTACCCAAAACATAAGAATGGATGGTTCCCGGGTCGAACTAGGAACAGGCAGTTCTAGAACCGACCGGTTCCGTTTTGGGTTCCAAACTTTTGGAATCGGAGGTCATTGAGCCGGTTATCGCTTCTAGACCGGGAACCAATCACTCTAATATTGTACTACTTTACTATAAGTGATTTCCGATCGAGGTGACGAACAGCTTATTAAGTCGGCGAATCACTCACTTAGTGTAGAGGCTGAGTTTACTAACACGCTTGTTTAGATTAGGGGAGGAACTGAGGTGAACAAGATCCTACAACAAACAAGAGCTAGAGTAGATCTACTTATATTGATACAAGACATTGTACTAAAAATAGGAAAATCATGGCATAAATTGCCAGTATAAAGAAATTTTTGCACAAACATCTTATCTACTCTTGATTGAAGGGTTTTAAACACTCAGTCTCTCACTATACATAATACCAAGAGTGGATATGGACATTTGTTTGAAGTTTCCTTTTACACTGGCTGTGTATGCTGTAATTACTCTTGAAAAAACTCTCTTTATATCATTTGAAGTTTAAATAATAGTGGATTTGGTTAAGATTGCAAAAAGATTCACTAAGATGGAGGATATAACCTATTTAATTATGGTCTTCCATGAACTTAGATTATCAAAGCTAGACTTGGGTACACCACCTTAAAAGTGTTTCCGAAACCCAACTGCTGTTTTTGCAGCAAATAACATGAGATTGTCGTATGGACTATTATCCTAATGGTGGCCGGTACGGAAAGAAAATAAGAGAGCACATGGTGCACATGAAGAGCAAAGCGTGAACAGAAGATTCATTTCATATGGAAGAGTACCCTAAATAAAATACCAAAGTGCAAGATAGAGATTCTAAATAGATAATGAGACTTCAAATTGAGAGATGGTTAGGACTTTTAAGATCTGTTAAACATCTTAAGCTTTCTTAGACACTAGCATGACTAACATTCATGGACTAAAGGAGATCAATACTAGGTCCGTCCTATCAAAACCGATAATGGAGTCACCCCTTACATAAAAGTGAAGGCCTGTTGTTCCACCGAACTAAAATCTCAATAAAGATCCCAAAACGTTTCGCTTACTTATCTACGTCTCATCTTACTTGATCCACGAGGTTAAAGATGGGCTCGGGATTTAGTGTCGACGTTACAGGGCTTAATTGGGTTCTCCTTTACCATTTTGTAACACAATGTACTCAAAACTTTTGGCGAACAAACCGGTATTTTCTCCACTAACCCAAATCTGGCTCACTAGGTTTGAATCCTCCGGACCAAATGGGAAATTAGCTTTGGTGACTCTATGTGATAATGTCAACATCACCATCCAAAAGATAGCATATCAGAGATGGCATAGGAAAGAAAAATCCTAACTGAGTCAAGTGCAGCAACCTAGCAACAACAGCATCGTCATCATCCTCTTTCTCACCTCACTCCAACTGAACCTCCATGCACCCGGAGATCGGTTAACGCCTAACAGCTGGAAAAAGCTATGCCAAAGTGATTAATCTGCGGCGATCGATCGGGGACCGACACGCATCGAATGACCACACGCGGCCGTAGACGGCCACAGAAAAACCTAATCGTTCAAATCCGCGCTTTCGAATCATACTGGAGCTTGGTAAAGTGAAATGGTATGGAAAAACTTACCTCTCTCGTTCTTCTTTCGATAGAACTTTCTTAATTATTCGCGCGAAACAGCCGGAGAAAACAAATTTAACCAGACCCTTACGGATCAGCGGATGCATAGAGAAGAAAGAAGTTCGCGTGTCAATTAGGAGAGAGCGGAAAAAAAAACTGACCTGGAGCTGGCGAAGTCGTAGAGCTTGCCGGTGCTGGAGAAGACGACGACCCCGACCTCGGCGTCGCACAGGATCGAGAGCTCCTTCGCCTTCTTCAGCAATCCATTCCTCCGCTTCGAGAAAGTCACCTGCCGGCTCGTCGTGTTGTCGATCCTCCTGATCACTATCTTCCCCCTCCCCATCCCTATCCAGCTCGCGTCCGAGCTTCAGCTCCCGAAGAGAGACAGAGAGAGAGATCAAACCGCGTAAGATCGATCGGAACGAAGAGAGAGAGGAAAACTCCGGCGAAGAACCGCGGAGAAAGTGTAAAAATCGGAGCCTAAATTTGCACTGCGAACGAAAATAGAAGCAGAAATGGAGATAAGACTTCCCCGATTTACGCGAGCGTTTCATGAGAGAGAGAGAGAGAGAGACAGATTTTCTAGCCGCGGGGCTCGCGATCGGATGCGAGGAAACAGCGACGGCAAATCGCTCCGGCGACGAAGAAGAAGAGGAAGAGGAAGAAGAGGTAGAAGAAGAAGAAGACGAAGACGAAGAGGAGGAAGCGCGACGGGAGAGAGGAGGACTTACAGGTGTGGAGGTGGAGCTTTAATGGCGGTTCCGCGGCCGTCGTTTCCTTGGCCGTACCGAGGAGGCGAGCATGCGATGCTATATAAGGAAAGTCCCATGTGAGGGGGAGAGAGCCTTAAAAACCGGTGGTATTGGGAAAACCACCGGTGGTTTTTGGCTTCCGGGTGACACGTGGCCCAATCGGGTGCTCGGGTCGTTGTAAATCCAGGGGGTTTTTGGGGCGCTGCGCCGAAACGTATAGATCATCGACACGTGGAAGCACCCACCGTTCAGAATACATAGGTAGGTACTGTGTGGGAAGTAAGGAATTGGGGGTGGGGAGGGGAAGAAAATGATTGGCTTGGGCCCCCAACAAATTAGGAAATGCCCGAAGTACCCCCCTCTGCTGGTAATGTCCTGCTAGGTTTCTTACCAGCTTTCAAAAAAAAAAAAAAAAATTTGCGTGTTAAATAAATCAGTATGTTGTTGTGTACAATTTTACAAATTCGGAAATGCCCAAGGTACCCCTCTGCTGGTTCGACCTAGTGCCTCCAAACATTTGAATGTAATGACTTTTGCCTTGTTAAATTTATTATCCATGCTACCAACTATGCTTTAAAAAAGATTGGACTGAAGGACAGGGCATCAATCACCTCAAATTTGATCGAGATGCTTTCAATAAATATAGGGAACCATAACACCTCTCGCCACACCGTCTCCCCCTCCCCTTTGCCTCCACCTGCGCATTATGCTCACCGCCATTCTCCGTCACCTGCCATTATCATCATCATCTCTCTCCATAAAGTCATCTAGGAAGATTGAGTTCACGACATCGGATCTGAGGTCATCGGCCTCGGCTGGTCTTTGATCTAGGGTTACCTGAGGCCAGGTGGCTAGTCGTGCGATGCTTGTGATAACAATTTCTCTTCGTCTTTCATTCAGAGAAAGATGGAGGAAAACCATAGGGCCAAGAGAGGTGAGAAATAGGAACGATGATGTTGTGTGGTAAAACAGGAGGTCGGTAATAACGACAACAAAGCAACAATAGAAACAATGTGGCGACGTGAGTGTTTTCCTGAATCAAGGAAGAAGGCATGAAGAGGAGACAAGAAAAGAAAAGAAAAGTTGTGAAAAGAAATACTTTTTCGATAAACCAATGGCACAAACATGTAGACTTGGTTACCCGGAAGTCTATGAAATACCTAGCAAGCCTCATAAACAGATATATAACGTGAATATCACTAACTTGGATACAAACATTTTTATAAATGTGTCGAACTACCAAACAAGAATGCAACATGCTTGATAAAGCAGATCGGGCGACACAACATGACTAACACGATTATCAAACACGTCACTACGTCAAGTGTTGACACGACATGATGTATTGATATTTTTACAATTATTCGTTTACTAGTGTAACTCGCAAAACACATTTGTACATGATGACTTGTTTTAATACTTTTAACATGTTTCTAGACAGTTTGACCAGTTTCACTTCACATGACTCCAAAGTATACGATTAAATTAGTTTTTCTTCATATGCATAACTTTTATATCCATAAATATGTTTTTATTTTTCCATTTATTCTCTTTGATATGGTGTTATCTCGATGAACTTCCAAAAATGAAAAGGACTCTAAATATGAGTACTGAACGCGTTAAACCCCATCTAATTGTATTGCGCCATAACAAATGACCGCATCGACTTGTTCAACTTAACGCGTCGAGTCCTATCTCAACGGGTTAAGCGGGGTCAACCTGCGTACCATTTATGCCAAATCCCAAACTTATTTAATTGCATATCTCGTCGTGTCGTACAAACCGGCCGTGCCGCTTCACTTTCCAACACGTTGTCCTCCCATAGAATAAGATTGGGAGCATCAATTTATCAGCCAAACGGAAATAAGTCTCGCTCTTCTTGACCGAGAGGATAATGGAACGAGATGGCGTGAACGCCACTAGACATGCCTGAGGGGCAAAAAAAAAACACATTAAAAAGCCCATTATGACCCGTAGGAGGAATCATTCAGCCTCCACGTGTCAAAAAGCTGTTGGAGGAAGGAAAGTACTAGGGTAGCGTGATTAGAGAAAGACCCCCCCTTTTCCCACTCTTTTTAAGGTTGCCGCCTGAGGAAATCGGAAGTCCCATTTTGAGCTACGGACATTGCACTGACAAAGCAAAGCTCCAAATCAGCAACTTTTTATACCGGGATTCTCTGCTCGATGTGACGGGATGAATGTGGGGGTTGCATTAAGATAATGGGCCAAAGTGGGGCATCGATGGGTGGATGGGACTGTTGATGAGCAGCCAAAAGAAGCTTTGCCCCCAAAAGTTGCAGTTTTTTCCTAATTTGCTTTTGTGGTTGGGAGAACAATTCATTGAGGAACACACCCACATTATTATATCCACTCCGATCATGGCGTAACGGTTACCGTTCAATCATGGGTAATGTCAATATCTAATCGGCATGTATCATGGGGTTTTTTTTTTTTTTTTTTTTTTGTAATTATGTTTTTATCTTTGCTCTAAACACGATTTAATCGCTCTCGAAAGTGCATATCACGCGATTCTGATCAGGGTCAAGTCACACCATAAACAATTTGTCATTATTCTTATGATTAGAGCGCAAATAGATACATGATTACGGAAGGACTCCATAATACGTATCGAGTACATACTAATAGGTGAAAACTGAGGTGTGGGATGAAATTCTATTCAGATATATCTCACTTTAGGATAGTTCTTGATCTACGCTTATCGAATTAAGTGGTCTATCTTTTCCATTTAATTTTTCAAATAGGATTTTTGCCTCTCCTTCCTTTTCTCCTGGTCATTCTAAGTTCGTTGTGCGATTATTTTATCATGGAAATAGTGAAAGAAATGACAGAAAAAGGTGGATGACATGACCACATAGATTATATATAGCATTGTATGTTCAACTTGGTACTGCTCCGAAAAACAAAGTCAGTTTATCCCACAGATTCAACATAGGACTCCCTGGGTTTCCTCGGAGGCCCCGAAAGAGCACATCTCGGTGCTGCATCCGCGCATCGGTGAGCACGTCAATAATGGGAAAGATTGCCCTTGATTTTCAGCCTTTTGAGGTTTCCATATAAGGTAACTAGCTGAGCGTGCCCGCACGTTAGCCCTCATTTTGGTAGGAAATCCACAAAACGAGACATTGTCCCTCCATACTAAACCGTGTTGTACTTCTCGAGCATACATAAAATAGTAGGTCTTTCGAACCCAAATTCAAAAAACCTAGTTCTTCCTTTAAGGAGCAACTTGCTAGAAAAAGAAGTAGGTTGGTTAATTGGAAAATGGCTCATTTTTTGTACGGAAAATGGCTTGCCTTCGGCCCTTCATCGGCATATAATAATGCAGTGCATTAGGTCAAGTGTCTATTCTCGTCTCGTGTAAGACCGACGAGCGCGATAGGTTAGCTGAAGTGGCACGAAGAATTCTGAGTGCCGGTTATTTTAAATTATCTCATTGGCATCTTATGTCTTATTTGCCATTCGGCTCCGGATCAGCTTGCTAGCCCACTTGTCCGAAAATTTTCTGGTCTGACACGAAATGATATGATTCTTTATGAATTCAAATTGTCAACTTGGAAAATAGTTTATAAGATGATGTCAAAAAGACATGTAACAGATGACCCATTCGTAACAATTGTTCATTTTTAGTGTCACCAAGTGTGTGGCTCTATAGAGCACCGAACAGATCGTGAACTGTCACCATGGAAAATAGTTTATAAGATGGCGTCAGAAAGACATGTGACATATAACCCGTTCGTAACAGCTGTCTATTGTTAGTGTCACTGAGTGTGTAGCTCTACAAAGTATTGAACAGATCATGAATATGTGATCATTCGTAACAATTGTTCATTTTTAGTGTCACCGAGTGTGTGGCTCTATAGAGTACCAAACAGATCGCGAACTGTCACCATGGAAAATAATTTATAAGATGGCGTCAGAAAGACAGGTGACATATGACCCGTTCGTAACAACTGTCTATTGTTAGTGTTGCTCAATAAGGAAATGGATTGTTGAACATCCACCTTAGCGTATGTACAAAGAGAAAGGGTCAAAACATGTTAAGTCTTACTAAATATGACTATGATACAATGCCACATTTAGTGAACTTGTCGGTCCGGTTCGAATTGCAAGCAAACAGTTTTACTCAATTAGACTTACTAAAGGAATTGAGAGATGCATTGCTTGTTCTGAGCCATTACATGATGTGCTCATTAAGCTGGGAATAGTGTGCTATACTATATTCTAGAGTGGCCTTGGAATGCGATGTTCAAAAAAGGATGATAGAAAACTTGTTCTAAAACATCTCTTCTTTATTTTCGCATCGATCGCCCTATCGGAATTCGTTGTTAACACTTCATCAAGAAAGAACTTTTACGAATTTCTCCTTTTAATTATGCATTAACACACCTAAAAAGGGAAAAGTCCAAAAAATTCTAAACCTATTATACAGAGACCAATTCAATCATAAACCTTTCAATTGTGCCAATTTAGTCCTAAACCTTTTGATAATTTGCCAGTGTAATCATTCTGGCAAAATAACCAGATGTTAGGTTTATGACTAAATTGACAAATTGTCAGAAGGTTTATGACTAAATTGGCACAATTGAAAGATTTAGGACTGAATTGGCCTCCGTACAATAGGTTTAGGACTTTTTGGAAAATTATCCCCACCTAAAGAAGTCCTCAATGACATCAATCATGATGCTCACTCATCTCCGTTAATTATGTACCAACTCACTCCTTTTGCTAGTGTAGCTAATGAAGTCATGTGTGTATAGTCATGTATTTTGGTCGGATAGGCATGAGACACAAACCTAGGACACTGCTAAAGATGACTTTGGAAATGATGGTTTATATACTTCTTTTTTCCTGCTTCCTCGAGAAAGTTGTTAGCTAGGATTAACTACTCCTCTATGATTCTCTGTTTTGGACCACCCACAAAGGGAGGGGAAAAAAATAAGCTTTTTCCCAAAGGGCATCGAACTCTTTCTATTAGGAAAATACTGAAGGGTCAGTTCATCGACTGGCGCGCACCTGCCTCTTCGAGAAT